CTTGAAATTCGAGACAGTAGCAAAAAAAATACAAAGATTGGCATGTTGCGTTCACAGAGCACATTAACCACTCCGAGATTTCACGTACATTGCTCGCGTTGAATTCGCCAGTATACCACATTTTAGTGAAGCGTCTGTAGTTCTATTGGCCTAAACTGTGTAGGCGGTAAAGCTTGCCCGAGCCTGCGCAACTGTCAAGCGGTTTCTCAGCCGTCGAGGTCAACGTCTCACAAGGATACCAATACATTGAGAGGACCACTACACCCTTCCCTTATCATCTTGTTATCTTTTTCCCTACTGCTTTAGCCTAATCCCAACCTAAAAGTAAAGGGATGCTACCATTTCAAGGTTGTTGTTTTCTTATGCCAAGTTACATTTTTTTAAGTCCGTTCCGCCCACAATTATCGCGGTTCATCGTACGAGGAGAATTCGCATAAATGCTCCATTCAACAGCGCTTGCTCATTTTGGTGATGCGAAGCACTTCTCGAGTGGTTCAAGCAGTTCGCTTTCACATGCAGACACACGTTTCTATCGCTGGTTTTTGGTCGGGAAATTCATTGTTCTGATAAACTTTGTCAGACATTCTGACATCACTTCTCGGGCAAATGTTATGTTTTTATGTAGTATCAACTAATTAAGCTTTAACATTTATTATGCGTATTTTATGCTGTAATTGGTCAAGAAAAAGAACTTTTGGTTCAAACAGTAACCAGCTATAGCACAATTCGGTCCTGCAGGTGAACTTACGCGCAGGTGCACCCCAGTTCTGTGCCCAAATCTTACGTTTTAGATGCAAAACACTTAAATATGTGTTTAGCCGATATGACGTGCCGACAAACTTGGCTTATCGGCGTGTCATGTCATTGTCACGGTTCATCATAAACCGGTAGCGTCACAAACATTTAGTTGATCCCACTACTCGCCACCAGTTCACACTATACATATTATGTGTTAAAGGTGCGTCGCCCCTGCATGAAACATTGTTTGGTTTAGCAGCGGTGCCAAAATACCCGACGAAATTTGCAAAGGAGCTGACGTTTCTTAACTAAAACCAGAGGTCCAAACGTGCATTTCTTCGGTAAGGTCATCTATATAAAACAGTACTTATAGAAAAACACATCTGCGAAGTGATGGTGTGTTAGTGGACTGATGGCGAGTAAAGATTTTGCTGCAAAAAACACAGACGCACACCGCATGCTTCTCCCCTTTCCAGGTTTCACTTTCCTGAAACACCCTTCCCTACATCCTATGCTCTTTTTTTAGTAGGTTCCGACCGAATACAGACCGAATGACGATGTCTGGTGGTAGCAGCCTCAAAAAACTAGTTGTTCCGCTTACGAACACAACCGATGGGAGACAAATGAAATGGGACGCAAACGACTACGCGCCTGGTCTCGCTGCTGGATCTCATGCAGGCGGAAGGGTGGTGGTAGTGGTTAGAAGAGGAAGAAGGCACCTAATTTCTGCAGCCGAGTAGGGAGAACGGCGCAGTGGGGAGAGCGGTTGCTGCACTCAGTAGCGGGAACTAATGAGCCAGTGAGTGCGTGGCGCCCCCAGTGTAGCTCGAGCTATCTGCGGCCGCGCCTGCGATCCCGCTGCCCCCTAGAGCGAGGCACTGCGCCGTGCTCCCGACCGGGTTGCAGAAATTAGGTGCCTTTTCTCATCTTCTAACCACTACCACCACTACTACCCTAGAGCGCGCACCTGTTCTTTTGCTCGGCGCGCTGGGAGCTTAGGCAGCGGCGTCGGCGGAGTACGGTGCTGAGGAGCATCACGTTTTAAAAAAAGTGTTCGCCGTGGTGGTTATGGTGCTCAGCTGCTGATTCGAAGGGTGCAGGTTGAAATGTTTGGAGATGGCTGAAATTTCCGGAGCCGTCCAGTCCGGTGTCTCTCATAATCTTATCGTAGTTTTGAAACGTAATACCCCATATATCAGGAGGTTTTCGAAATTTTGGGGCCCCAAAGAAATAGTGTCAAGGCCACTGCGCATGCACAAGGCCCAAACCGCGTTTTGGTTTTGGGTTGCGGACGCTATGTCTCGAATTTATCGAGAGTTCCGAGGCCTGCCCCAAAAGTTTTGGGTCAGATAAACCTGACGACACTCACTGAAGTGAGGACTCTCGCCCAAGACTTTAGCGTGACACAGAATAGGGACGTGTCCAAAGCGACGCAGACCCTATTCGAAAACTCTTCGCTCCTGCTTGACCCAAAGTGTCCATACGCAGATTGCTTTGGAGCACAAACTTTTGCGGCACCTATTCGAAAACTCCCTATTATTACTGTTATTTTTAGCGGCCTCGAAAGAATCCAAAAGAAAATGTGCTCATGACCCCATCGTGCGCAGCAACAAGGTGGCGTAGCTAACGAAGCCGTAAGGCAACCACAAAAGTGTGTACACACGTTAATAGTACACCAACTGCTTGGCAGGCCTCGCCCCGAAGATCACACATTAATTCAAGGAAATCGTTCTCATTAACCTAAGTAAAGAGTTCCATTTGGCTGATCCCCGACCACCTACTTATGCAACCGCCCGCTCCTTTCTCATCGAAATCTCCTCCCTCGTGCCTTCGCACGAGAACCGCACTGTTTCTTTATTTTTTTTTCCCGCTCTCGCTTTGCAGCTCATTAATTCCGCTGGCATGTTCACATGTTCGTTGTATTTTGCTTCCCTCTTAATCGGTATTAACCGACGAATCGGCGAATTTGTTTGTTCTTGATGTTGTTCTCAGCTGAGCGTGACACGGTGCCCTCTACGTCCCCTCCATGCGTTGGTCGGGAAGGTTTTATTGGCAGTTGTGTCGCCTTGGCCGGCGACCTTGCAGGAAAGGAGGAGGCGAGGTGTGCGAGAGAGGGCCTCCTGCTCACCGAGCGGCGAAACACGGCCGCAGAGGAAAGAATGGAATCGCCGCCTCCACACACTCGGCCGGAGCTCGGCACCGGCTACGAAGTCCTCGACCATTTGCAGGTAATCGGGTTTCGTAAATATGCGCTCGTAGAGGGACTCCAAGGGGGGTAGAAATGATTTTTCGCGCATTGGTAAGTTATCCTATCGCACAACCAAAAGAAGAGCTCTTGCCTCATGAGAACACGTGGTAATCAAGAAGACGCGCAAAAGAAAAAGGCTAGTCCTCCTGGAAGCTCCCGCTCCAATTAGCTTTGACGTCATGAATTTCGGTGGCGTATACTGGAACATACGTAGCTCTTAATTAGTAAAAATGAAGAAAGTTGTCTTCAGAGAAAAGCCTAAAACTTACTGTACCAAGTTTCCGAAAACCTCCTTAAGTGAATGTGGCCAAATTTTGAAAAGGAAACAGTTTAGAATCGCTAACGTTCAGGTGCACAAATTTCACGCAAAATTTTAGGAAGTTAACCTGCGACTTTCATTTTCTTTTGTAATATAAACACACGATGGTCAAATGAGAGAGAGTGTAGTTTATTTTGATCATTATTTTACTTTTAAATAAAGTGCATCATGGTCTAGAAAAGCTAGATGTTTAGTTTTGCTCTCGTCAGAGTGGTTTCTACATACCAGGTGCGTTTTGTGATTCTTTCCGAAAATAGCTGTCGCACTATTCTGGCATTTAACTAGCTCGTTGATTGTCTATGTGGGGTTTAACGTCCCAAACCCACCATATCAATATGAGAGACGCTGTAGTAGAGGACTCCGGAAATTTGACCACCTTGGGTTCTTTAGCGTGCGCCCAAATCTGAGCAGATGGGTCTACAACATTTTCGCCTGCATCGAAAATGCAGCAGCCGCAGCCGGGATTCGATCCCGCGACCTGCGGGTCAGCAGCCGCAGGTCGCGGATTCGTAAAAAAAAATGGAAATACACAACCTGCGGTATATAGGTGGTATAAGATACATTCGAAGACACCGTTTTTCGCGGATGGCCCACGGCAATCGAGAGGGAAATGTAACGACTATTGTTTGCTTTGTTGTGAGACGCGATGCTGTTTAGAAACTGGTGACGCACCCCTGAAATAATCACGTGACGGGCCCAGCTAGACGGAACAGTTGCCGGTTATGTAGGCCTACCACATGGCAATACCACCATTACAAAGGCTTTTTTTTGTTATGCAGCCCCAAAAAGTAATTAATAAGGCAGGTATTATTGCAACTGAACTGAGATACATGAAGAACTGCGTTTCCGCAATGTCTCGCATTTCAATAGTGTGGCACACCGGCACAAATAAGATATACCACAAATCGTAATAACAAGAAGAAAATCTGCGTGCTTTTTACGCGATACAAAAGACCAACCAAAGCCGAGAAATTTCTTTGCGGCAAAACTGAAGTCTTCTCTTGTTCATATTTTACAGCTGCATCTACATATGCAGAAACATAAGCAAGTATTTTTTTTTTCAGAGGGTCATCACTAAAACACCGGGAGCGGAAAGCTCGATTTTGAGTATCTTGGATGATGATCCCTTCGAAAACGGTATGTTACAACCTCTCGTAATTCCTGTTTTGTTTGATCTCGGGTTAATGTTTTAAATTATACAGCCAGTGCTTTGGGGAACACAGTACGAAAGCGACAGAAGATCGAGATGTGCCATTTTTTTTCTTTTTTGCGCCGTATTTCTATGTGCACTGGCCATCTCCGCTCATGGATCACCAACATGTTCACGTACACTCTTCTAAGTCGGATTTCGGACCACAGTGGTGGACAATGTATGTACATCAAGTGGCTCGGCCTGCAGACTCTCCAGAGGCCAGCATGGCGAAAGAGTGATCAATAAGCTCTTCGGCATATATTGCATACAGAAACATTATTATTGAAATTTTATCATTTAAGGTATCATGCGACATCATGGGATAACTGTGGTGCAGTGGGCAGCTGTTGATAGCCGCTCATTAAGGGACAAGCTTGCACGGGACAGCGAACTGATAAACACGGCACGTGAATGTACGCAAATAGAAAAAGGGTGAATGCGTTTCTAAATTAACATAGATATCACGTTCTTTTGTGCATTATTGTACCCAAGGTGGTCGAGATTGTGCACACACCTGCGGTTACAGCACTGAGAGCTCGAGCACAGGAGAAAGCAGCACCGGTGATGCATTTTTGGATGAGATGCAGGTGAGCTATATTACGGCATTAAAAGAGGCCTTTAGAAAGCTACCTATCCTTTCAACCACTTTGCACCTTTAAGGTGGTGTCAAGCAAGTAAAGCTCCCTTTTGTAAAAGGTGGTAAGGGTGTCTTCGTTACCCTAAACAGCCTTTAAGAGGGTAATGTTTCAACTAAAACAGCCTTAGGAGGTAAGGGGTTATTGAAACACACTTGGTCCTTTCGACAGCGTACCAGATGATAACTGAAAATCGCTAATCAAAAGGTTGTTACATATTAGGTGCGCTTAGTTTTAAAGATCTGTCCCTTTTATGGTCATATACAAGCACACCACGTTGCTACGCCTATTCTATTAATGTTTAATATTTATTTATATGGAACAGGAACCAGCACTAACCGACAGCCAAAGATACTATGTCCATGTATACCAGATGGTCAGTGTAGGGCTGTGAAGCGCAAGTACTCCAGCCATGCGCTATTTTACAACATGCTGCATTGCGTGTAGAGTTAAGCGTGTACGTGCGCCTTCTATGCTTATGCCATCTGTCTGCCACAGCATGTTCCCTAACTGCAAGGCTTTTTTTTTTGTGGTTTTTCAGTCATGAGTGTTGAGACTAGAGGTGCGCATGGGCTCCGGGTAGCTCAAAAGATCAAACCCAGCCCGGCCCGCGGGCCGGGTTCGAGTAGGCCAACGTCTTTTCTTCTCAGGTCCGGGCTGTGCTCGGTCTACTTAGCTTTTTTATCCGGTGGGCTGAGACATGAGCAAATACCGTATCAATCCCGCTGTGCCGGAATACTTTTCGAGCACGGTAGCGATAAGGAAGAAAAATTAGCCTTGTGATTATTTATCTATGGTATCATCCCTCTATCCTACATCTGAGGTGTGCAGCCTCTGGAAGAACAAGCATTAAATATGCCAAGCTTGCAATCAGGGGTAGGGACAAAATTTGTTGACTGGGTAGGCAGACACTTCAAATGAGTCACATCGATGAGGGGTCCAGGAGGCAGAAACTTATCAGTTGTGTTATGATTAAGCTTGGTTTTACGGTGGGGAGGGGGGAAAAGGGGGATAGGAGGGTGTTTTGCGGGGTAATTGCACGCACGCACACACGCACTCACACACACGCACACGCACGCACACACACACGCACGCACACACGCAAACACACACCCCTTACCCCCTATAGCACCACCCCTGCTTGCTATCCCTGACAAAAAATATATTGGTAACTCTGGCTACTAGTCCAAGCAGCGAAAGGAACTTCAGAGTGGCAGAACATGCGATGTATACGAACACCGGACTTCGCATTGAAGCCCAAACCATAAGACAGCTTATTATTTTTTGGCATCTTGTAATCTGTGTATATAGTGACTGCTACATGTCGTTTGCTTATGCTTAACTTCCATATGCCGAATAAAATGCCATATTATCGAAAAGCAATATTTTGACTCGGCAGCAAACCTACATGATGTCGGGCCGGGCCCGGGCTTTTGGTTTTGTACATTGGGCCAGTCGGACCGGGCGGGCTTGTATGCCACAGCGTCGGGCCGGGGAGGACCTTGGAGGCACTCGGTGATCCCGGGTCGGGCTCGGGCTTGGAAATTCGGCCCATGCGCAACTTTAGTTTAGGCTATATCGGCCACACCATATGATAAGAGTGTTGACGATTTGATTGATATGTGGGGTTATATGATTATGAGAGACGCCGTAGTAGAGGGCTTCGGAAATTTCGACCACCTGGGGTTCTTTAACGTGCACCCAAATCTGAGCACACGGGCCTACAACATTTCCACCTCCATCGGAAATGCAGCCGCCGCAGCCGGGATTTGATCCCGCGACCTGCGGGTCAGCAGCCGAGTACCTTAGCCCCTAGACCACCGCGGCGGGACTATGAGAAGAGTGTTAGGGAATTGACCAAACCCCATAGTAAATGTATTTTAACCTATAAAAACGCCCTTTTCCGAAAGTGTTACGGTGTTAGTTATGAACACGGAAAAAAACGCCCTAATGATTCCGATTGATTTATTATGTAGCAATCCTTGTTATACGCTGCCATGCTTCTTTTTTTTTTACAGAGCGTTTGGTACTCTAAGCTCATCGAGTGCCTAAGAGACACGGCCAAACAGTTTGGACTACCGCTTAGCCGCAAGGTTCGTCTGGCATAAACGCAGAATGCGGATGTTTCTTCCTCTTTTTTCTTCCATCTAACCTTTTTGCTCGTCACCTGCCTGCCATCATGTACATTCCGTATTCATTTTTTTCTTTTGCACCACTTCGTTTGAAACATCTACATCCCTTTCGTCAGTGCAGGGTAGAATGCCTCTTCTTCTGGACATAATAAAGGAGTACTAACACAAAACCTAAATATTTTCCGATTGTTGCTCTGAACGAGAACACTGGTGTCGAGAACCCTAAAAAAGTGTCGAGGTGCCTGGCGATGCAAAAAGAAGTCTCTTTGCGACGTCGTGTCAGCGCCACATCCCTGTATTTTACTTCTTGCCCATCTTGCTAACCTGAAGCAACCTACATTAATTTTTAGTATGTTTAATTTTCTTGAGAAGTGCATGTTAATATGCTAATAAAAGAAAAAAAGAGTGCGCTTGTTAGTGAAACGCTCAAATAGTCACGTCAGCGATAGTCGAGCGCATGGGAGCACACCGTGAAAGCATCAGCATCCTTCATCGAAATGTGATCGAGAACTACCGGTTCATACCAAGGCTAATGAAAGCATACAAACTGATAAAGAACGCAAGACAACAAAATTAACGTTTCGGAGCCCAGTAAGGGTGCCTTGTTCACAATGAACGAATGTATGGTGGTCTTTATCATACATATATATCTCGATAGACGCAACGCGCTTGCGTATACCTGGGAGGGGGGGGGGGGGGATATGTACGTATACGCATATGTAATAAAGACCGCCACGCCTGTGCTCATTGTGAACGAGGCACCTGAAGTGGGCGCCGAAGTGGTGATTCTGTCGTTTTGTGTTTTTATTTTAGTTGGCTAGAGTACGTTTTCTTCAACCATGATTTTTCCCCACCGGGCAAGTTTTTGACAAACCGTAGACTTCATTTTTCATACCAAGTAGCATCATATATTTAGTGCGGGATTTCAATGTTGCGAGATTCACGAGATTGTATAGAGTTAAAAAACCAGTTTTAACCCTTCTTTCAAATGGTTGTTAAGTCCCGTTTGTTTTATTAAATAGAAGTTGATTAGGTATCCCTGAAGACCCTCCCACCACCTTTCAGAGATAACTTTTTGCTTACAAAACACTTCTGTAACTTGCGCTGGCAACAATATTATACCTGTCGTACAGTGAGCCACTCATCTCGCTTAATCCCAACCAGTATGAAAGTTCTCAGCAGTGGTTGGCTAGACCTATCTCGCGCGCCAATCACGATCGAGAGATTCAGTCCTGATCAGGTTCTGGATCCGGATCCAATATCATATTTTTGTCTTTCAAGTGAGTTAATCAGGTACTTTTAAAAAATGTCCCGCAATTCATGCTGACGTAGCGCACTGTAATAAATGTAGCGTATTGAACTAATTTTTCTTATTCACATAATCTAGCGCACCATTGGGGAACAAGAATTAGTGGAATCCAGGTGGTTCGACTTGGGAAGTGAAGAGATCGGTGAGCACGGCTTCAATTTTTTTTATCTATTCTTACCTTCGTTTACTGGCCATTTCGTAAATCTGTGTTTCAATTCATCACGTGACTTTTTTTTTTTCTAAAGAGCGTGAGCGTAAGATTGCAGAACCGCTCTAAATACATGGATTAAGTTTTCGTACGAATCTTTCGGCCAGCAAAGTCTCCGGTCGGCGACACTAATGACATCGTAACAAAGCAAAGAAAACCGACACCCTCATGTTTTAACATGTGGTCTAGTCTGGAGACTAACACCGGATGTCCACCTGAGTTATTGAGCTGATTTCAACTGTAACGTATAGGCGTAGAAACTGTCCACTGAGAGGTGTCAGTTCCGCTTTTAATGAGCGCATTTGGTACCATTCAGTCGTATGTTACAGTTTTCTGTGTGTGCTATATTGCATTCTTTCAGCGAATGTAGTTATTTCAATGACCATCACCTTCCCCAATGGCATGTTTGTCAAACACTAATAACGCATTTCTCGATGGCATTGAGTAGTTTAGTGTTGAAGTGGGACATACGTTGAGAAATCAACAAGTGACGTCAATCAAGCGCTGACAAACGTGCATTCAACTGTATTTTAGAGACAGTGAGAAAAAGTAAATATGGTCTGTCGTTCATATTTGTGCATAGTTCTTGCTGTACACAAGAAATAGAGATTTTTCTCAGCTACCCATTGTACTAGAGTGACAATGTTCTTTGTAACGAAAAAATATTTTAAGAATGGGAAAACTCATTAGGGAACTTTCGAATAGGTGCCCCAAAAGTTTGGAGCCTCAAAGCCCTTTGCGTATGGACGCTTTGGGTCAAGCAGGAGCGAAGAGTTTTCGAATAGGGTCTGCGGCGCTTTGGACACTCCCCATATTCTGTGTCACTCTATAGTCTTGACCGAGGACCCTTATTTCAGTGGGTGCCGTCACGTTTGTATCACCCGAAAACTTTTGGGGCAGGCTTTGGGGCTCCCGCTAAATTCGAGAAATAGTGTCCCCTACCCAAAACCCAAACGCGGTTTGGGTTTCGCACATGCGCAATGGCCTTGGCCCTATTTCTTCGGGACCACTATTCGAGAACTTCCTATTAACTTCCACTTCTTTGGGGTTTCTTTCGTGATGGTTATGTTTCGCTTGTTAGCATTTGCCAACTTTGCCACTGATGTTGCCTGGCATCGCCTGCAACACGTTTTGACTACTTAATCCCCGCCACGCGAAGTGCTATGAGAAAGACGTAATCGTGATTAGCAGGGCCGGATTGCTGCCGTGGTGCAACCTGAAACAAATTTATCGCGGCCATACAGTTATCCAACGCAGTGATCATCCTACAGAGTACTACGACTGTCGACAAAGATATGGGCAAAGTTCATTCCGGACTCTGAATTTATCGTGGAGAACTTTCTACGGAAGTCCTACCTGCATCAACAGCTACTAGCAAAGCTTTCATCAGGGGTGTCAAATGTTTCTTTTAAATGTGCTCATCAAAAACACCTGTGATAAGAATTTTTTTAAAGAAACGAAGATAAAACAAGCATGTCAGCAGTACGGATAATCAGCATCGCACCTTGCCAATACATGAAGCCTACTGTAAACATATCTTTTTTTCTAATTTAGAGTTTTCTTGCCAGACCGTCGTTAAGTTAGCCCGCACCACTCCTATTGAAACGAATGAACTATATCGATGGAACGGTAGTGGAAATCAACTTCTAAAGCAATAACTTAAATTTAGAAGCCTTACGTGCCAAAACAACAAGTTTATGTGGACGTGGTGAGAGACACCGGATTCATATTGAGCACCTGTGGTTCTTTAACAGACACCTAACTCTAAGTAGTTAGCTGCGTCCGCATTTCGTACCCATCGGCCGCCATAAACTTAACGCGATTATAGCGCACCTTAGCTGGCAATATACCACTGCTGCAGGTAAAACAAAACTAACCTTAATTAAATTAAAGCCTATTGACCGGTATTACCTTAAGGGAAAAGTGCTGCTTCACGACAGTGAGCTGCTTTCTTTTACAAACTTCATTTAATGCGTGCGCTGGAAGGTCAGAGCAGTGAAGGGCACCACGTTTTTTTTTTTTTCTCTCAAGGGTCGAAATTCGTGCGTCATTAATAATCCAATGGAATTGATGCTCAACCACCAATCACAAAAGCTGCCAACGTTGCGTCAGGGGCGTCACCGCCGCCCACTTCGTGACAAACGGCTGCCATTAGCCGGATCACTTTAGAGTCGACCAAGGTTGGCGAACTGCTGCTGTCAGCCTGCACTTCGTAACTCATCGGGGATGAATGTTTAATGCCCTCATCACGTTCCTCTCTCGCCCCGCTGTTTGCACAGTCAGTGTCCCTTGCTATGTCCCATTTGCATATTGGCATTATCCAACAGGGTTGACCGATTTACAGGAGGTCCAAGCTAAGCGCATTACCCGAATATTATTCCATCACCCTGAAGGAAATTACCTCGCTTCAGTCATGCGTCAAAGCGTGACAGAACTTTCACTGTTCTGGAGAGAGGAAGGGGGAATGGGATGTTCTCTTTCCCATTTCCTGTGTTGTTTCTCTCTCTGCTCTCTGTTTATATATATATATATATATATATATATATATATATATATATATATATATATATATATATATATATATATATATATATATATATATATATATATATATATATATATATATATATATATATATATATATATATATATACATATATGGTGTGGTACATCCGGGCTACCTCTACTAATATTTACTAACGGTAATTTAATTGTTCATAATTAATTCGCAATCAAAAATGCTCACCTTTGTATGAAAATTTCAGTTGAGCATATGCACGCATGTTGAAACATCTGAGTTTATTTTACTCTGCTTGACACAGTCAAATACGTTATGTGGTTCAATATAATCACACAGTTCTTTTCATATATTTAGAATCAGCGCGTCGGCACACAGGCTGCCATGCAAGCTCATAACAATAATTGTTGAGGTATAACGTCGCAAAACCAACATACGATTATGAAAGACGCCGTAGTGGAGCACTCCGGAAATTTCGGACCCCCTGCGGTTCCTTACGTGCACCTAAATCTATCTTAAGGTGCACGTAAATCTAAATCTTAAGGCACACGGGCCTTAAGCATTTTCGCCTCCATAGAAAATGTGGCCGCCGTGGCCGGTATTCGATCCACCGAGCATGCGGGTCAGCAGCCGAGTACCTTAGCCACTAGACCAGCGCGGCGGGGGCGGGCAAGCCCAGAAAGTAAAATAGTAAGGCGCACTTCAGATTTACCAACGCACGTGGAATACCATATTTGGTTGCTGATATTGACAAATATTAAATGACGCTGGCCATTCGGCGATCATAAGGCGTGGCCACCCTTGAACATGGTGAGACTGACACCACGTGTTCTTTCGCGCCTGTCCGCTACGATGGATCAGTGATGGTGGTCGGCTGCTAACCTGGAGGTCGCGGATTCGATCCCAGTCACATTTCGATGGAGGCGAAATGATAGAATCCCGGGTACTGTGTGATGTCAGTGCACGTTAAAGAGCACCAGATGGTCGACATTTCGGTGGCCCTCCACTACAGCGTCTACCATGATCATATTGTTATTTTGGGATGTTAAGAAAATATTTTCATTGTTAAACACTCCCGCATTCAATAGTTGCATTCAAGTTGTCGTTTACGAAATGTTGTTGTTCCCCGGCAGAGCTGTTGGCAGCCGAACCGCTGTACACCCCTCAGGACTTTCTTGACTTCTTGCTTTCTGCAGTACCCACTGAAGATAACATATGCTTCACTTCTGGAAACACAAGGTAATTAACTGTCCGCAACGTCCGTGACAATATATTCTGTAAACTAAAAACACAATCCCGTTTTGTGGGTCATTGTAAGCTACAACAAAGGGCCCTTGGCCAGTCCCTGCAAATGCAAAAAGGGTGCGTAAACTGGCTGAAGCATTCTTCACGAGAAACGAGGGCATTGATTGTATTGTCTACTAGATTGCCAAGTACGCAAGCTCAAACATTACTTCGGTGACATCTGCGTTTTCTTCTGCGCACGCGTGCATGTGTTGCTTTTCGCTGTGCTCGTTTTTCTTTCATTCCACTTCAGTTGTTACACAGAGTTCGTATACTGTGTCCTTCTGTTTTCGAGGTCAGTCCTTTTTACGCTTGTTTTTTGTACAAGATACAAAAAACGAGCGCACTCCCACCTTTCCGGCGCACTTGGTGACACATGCATGAACAGTGATTTCTGTGACGTCTGCAGTGTACATACTCTCGATTGGTCCATATATGCGAAGCATAAGATGTAAATGGTCTCCTGCACTGTATTTCCATAAAGCCGTCCATTCGTTCTTCCTTGTCCCACATACCTATTCTGCGCAGTCAACTGATTTACCTTAATTTCTTGTGTTCCCGACAGCGCAAACGCAGATAACAGTGTGCAACGGACAAGCGCGATATCTTGATAGGCTAAACGCTCAGTGCTGACATTGTGCACGTACTTTGAAGAAGTAAGTGGTGAGGGGGAGATATCGTCTGTATGAGTGGTAGCAAAGGAAATCACTCCCTCGTCTTAGAACGCGCGGTGGCATCGCACGTATAGCGCCTCCTAGAGTCCCTTGAACACATGCAAGACAAGCAAAGCACCTCTAAGCCCTCTTACTTTTGAGCGATACGTTCTGTTCTCTTATACTCTCTTTCTGTGGAGAGGTGGAGGTCTATATTACCACGGCTACTCCATATCCATATATTCTACGGGAAAAAAGTAATAATGACAACGAAGGTTACCCAAAATGAACAATCAGCGAAAACAAAAACCATAATAGCACACTGAAACAAGTTGATGTAACATGACAATCCGTTCTAACACGATGCATTTATTGCCTGCAAGTCTTCTCGCCCAAGCATCGGTGGTGCTGAAAACCAAAGATATTTGCGAACTGGTTCGTATGGCTTCACTGTTTCGGGCATGTCTGGAACTTGCGAAAGGTTTTGAGTGTGCTTTTGCGTTTACTTTTTTCTGCAGAGAGAAATGCTGAAGATGCCGGATTACGAGTCTCCCTTGCCTCAGGACTTGGATAGCGCAGAGTACGAACTATTTGCCCAGCTAAGTGCGTAGCATTCATTGATCTTCAGGTGATATATTGCAGTCACGTCAAAACCGGTAGCGGATCCAGGGGCGGGGGGGGCTGATAGCTTTTTAAATGAGAAGGGCTTATAGCATCAAAATGTGCCTATGTCTGAAGTGTGATTGCCAGTATTTTTATCCCTCCAGTTTATTACTATTAGAAAACCAACTAAGTACTTTATTTGACCCCTGTGAGCACAAATTAGCAGTGTTTATATTGTGATAAAGCTTCTTGTGATAATAACAAATAATAATAAAATCATAAACAGTCCGGACCCCCCCCCCCCTCTTTCCGGTTCTACTTCAAGTGACCCCTTCCCCTTAGGTGAGTGGCTGGATCCGCCCCTGGTCAGAACTGGATAAACGAAATCAACCATTCGACACTCTAGGTCTCCTTTTATATCTTTTGTAACATTTCCTATTGTTAACAATAATGATATGATAAAAGTAGCCACAATGGTGTATAACAATGTTACCCTACACTTCACTAGAGCGAGACGGTCTGCGATAAAAAAACGTGTCTACCTTAGTCACATACCGTACACTTGCAAAATGTCTAGGCAAACAATGTAGCTAGCGCAAACAAAAAACACAAAAAAGCTTCACTGCACCTGATTCAAGTCTCGAATTATTTCATACGGCATAATTTGATTGTTGTCAATCATGACAGGTTTACCTGGGCGGGAGCTATACCCAGCCCAGTCTGGGAATCTGACAGGCATACCTCCCCCCCCCCGCACCTTAGTTATGGTGCCCAACTGCTGACCCTCAAAACACCGGATCGAATTCCAGCCTTCCATGATGCAGACCAGAGGGAGCCCCGGCCTCCCAGCCCCAACCCCCTCCTTTACTCTCCGCCTATGCGGAGAGTACGGGGCGCCTATGGTTATGGGCATGTCTTTTTCAGATGCGAAGCAGCTTAGGCTCAAGCTCAATCCGGTGTGCGGCGTGACCACTCTCACTGCGCATGCGCATTCGCTTCCCTTTTTCTTTCCTCTCATACGCTCTCTTTCTCGCCTGACGACGCTGACACAGGCAGCGGCGTCTTACGTACGCTCGCTCCCCACTCTCTCCTCTAGGCATTCCAACCCGCGGCATTTACACCCACAATGCGCATGCGCGTCTCCTCTCGATCTCTCTCCTTTCCTACGCTCCCCCTCTCTCACCTCAAAACACCGACGCAAGCTGCGTCTGATAGCGAATTACTTGATTTAAAAAAAAACGCACTTCTTGCGCTGCACAACCATTCACTGGCTTACCCCTTATACGAGGGCACTGGATCGAGTGTTAGGAATTCAATCAAGGGTTGTCTTTACTTGGCTTTCGCTTGACGTTGAAGGTAACACTTCTCCTTCATTCAATCAGTACGAATATAATAAAGACGAAATAACAATTAAACATTCCCAAATCATACCCAAATACGCAACATTCGCTGGCTACCCCAACCACTCTTCGACGCATTTACTCGAGTTCGCCCCCTGCGAAGATAGGGGCGGCATTTTTTTTTTTTACTCATGGCGCAATATTTACTACACTACATGTAGAGACATTTTTTTTTATTTAGCGCTTTCCGAGAAAGGGTTTCGTCAGTGTGGCAAGAGTATAAAATTAGTACTCACCCGATTTGGATATGTCGGAAAAAGGACATTGTTTTCCGCCTTGGTATACATTGTCAACGCTTTCGACATACCGGAGTCAAACAGCACGTATGAAATATCTTATTTTAATTTTAAAGTCTTTGTTGCTGATGATCTGCAAGCCTGTTCCCCTGCAATGAAAATAATCTCGACGAGTCAATAGAATAATAATGAGTGGGGTTCTGCGTCTCAAAACTTTGGTATGATTATGAGAGGCCGTAGTAGAGGGTTCCAGAAATTTCAACCATCTGGTGCACCGACATTGCACGGTACACGGGCCTAAATCATTTCGGTTCTAACGAAATGATTTAGCGAGCTCGGAGCAAACTCGGCTTCCCGAGAAGCTCGGGTCATCCTGCATCGCTCCCCGGTACTCCTTCAAATACCCGTGATGTGTCTTTGATTCGGTAGAATTCTTCAATTCATTGTTATCAGCTTACACGTAACCTGCATTTTCCTCTTCCGAAAGTATACGACACAAGTGATCAGCTGGCAGCAAGGGAATTCCTGAAGCGAGGATGCCCGCACTGCATGCGAAGACTTTTCTGGGCACGGGTGCTGGGCGTTTCATCACCCGAGAAGGTAGGTGTTAAAGGGCCACTCACCAGGCCTCATAACAAATTTTTGTTAGAGCATGGAATTGCGGTGTGTCTGATGAGGAGCATTGTGCCACAAAAATTGTTTCAATTGGTTCATTACGAGCTGAGAAAGCTCGAAACCCTTGCTGCTATCTCACGTAGCCTTCGCAAGCCAAATCTCTTCCCTATTCTCTCTGGCATCTGACCAAGAGGTCACGTGCACATGACGTACCCGAACAATCCCAACCCCCGTGCACGCGAGTGTCGTTGTTTTCTTTACCAGCGTTATTTTGTGGTCTACTTCCTGTTTCTGCGGGACGGTTTGGAAACGCTGGATTAGACGTGGTAGAATAGATGAGTGCGTGATCGCGTAGGAGCATTATTTTCGCTTCCACGGCTGTCGTCTGCTCAATGCGCAGACATGATCGTGAACGCCCCATCTATATACGCATTGCGCTTGTCAGCCAAAGAGGCTTTTTAAAAAAATGCTGGAGTGGAAATTCTTCCCCACGAGGGAAGCCATGCCAACCGTAAGATGGCGGCTGCGGCAGCAATCTTACTAGGGGCATGATGAGCTATTGGCGTTCGGTGATCGAGAAGGAGCATTGCCCAACGAGTTTAACGTGGCAACCTTTTCGGGTCAGATAGTGGCTCAAAGTGCGTCCTTGTGTTACTTGTTTTCTTTAGTAAGCCTCGAATTCGAAGGCAAATTCTATTCGAGATTAAGTCACCGATACTTTAGTCCTCTCCGGATTACTTCTTCTAAAACAACTATCATTTAATTTGTAATTAAAGTAGCTTTTAAACCAACAAATCGAAGCCACTTGATGTCTAAGTGGGCACTACCAGAAAATAGCATCTTTCTGAGATCTTTGGAGGGCAAAAGCTGGCTTCGCTACTGCTGGCAAAGCATTTCGGGAGCTTCCACTCCAGCAATTTTTTTTTAAGCCTTCTCGTTGTCAGCTCAAAATTGTCAAACCTGGTGAGACGCCCTTGAATTAACAAAACGTCTGGATTTCACAATGTGTTTTAATGCAACTTTCCACGTTTACTTCAGGTCAACGCGGAGTTCGAACGAGCTCAAGGAAAGAGTGATACGGTACGAGTTACTTGTGGACCAAATTATAATAAAGGTGAGAATCCAGCTGGTGGTGTAATCACCCGAACTTTTCTGCGCCATCCGATCCAGTCACGCTTCTTTCTTTTTTTTTACTTTGTAGGACGTCCGTGACAATGTAATGAACGACGTCGAGTACTTCGCATTTGACGACAGTTGCTATCAAGTAAGCCAAACACATTGTGAATAAAGGTTACACTGCATCCGTTGACGTGTTTATCATGTGATCTCTATAGACATTGCTATGACAAGTGCGCATATTTCAGGTAATGTTGGCATTCACAAGAGACTACTGCATTGCGAGAAGGATAAGAAGTCATTTCTTAGGAACGGTTGCAATGAAAAGCGACTTGCCTTGCGGAGCCGTTCCGCATTACGGTTTCTCGTTACTAGGTAAGTTGTATCGACCAGTGACATTCCTCGTTTGAACTTACATCGATTTGTTGGCCTCTGGTTGCTTCACTTCAGATTTCTTAGTGAATTCTGCCTCTCGAAATCACTTGCATTTGCATGCGCATGTGCTCTGCGCTTCTATCAGAAAATAATAAAATTCAACATTGGCTGACTGTTTGATGGTTGAAGCGTACACTTCCTATATTTACCTTCAACAAGCACGCTTTCTTTTGTTGTTTTTACGCTTGCATCATTTTTTGCACCGAAATCGCTCATAATAAAGAACATGTATCGATTTGTTACGCGATATAGCAGCAAAACTATGGCAGTAACCTATCTTACCGAGAAAAGTGTGCCGTACATACAGTTTTCTACCATTTCACTTAATTTGAAGAAGTTCGGAGCGCTGGCTTACACAGGATTACTGAATATAGCTCCTAACGGTAACCAAAGTTGCTCTTTCCTTTTCTCCGTGCCGCTCAGGTACCATTCGCCAAAAACAGCCAGAAGAAACTGGGGATCCTAAAATTGCAATAGAGCAATTTAGCGTGATCTGTGTTCTATTTACTTAAAGCGATATTTTACAGGTGTGACTTTAGTGCGATGCCAGTGCATGCACGTTAAAGAGTAGCGGATGGTTCCGCAGTCAGTCCAATACAACGTGCCTCACAATCGTATCGCCAGTAGCCACGAATCGGCGCTGACTGACACTCCCACAATTGAATGCGTGTCTAAAGTGGAGGGGGGATATCCACCACTGTAGCTCAGTTAGTAGAGCATTAGATGCGTCAATGTAAGGTGCCAGGATTTGGTCCCAGGCAGCGGCAAGTTATCTTTTCATCCACTTTTCTTTCTTCACAGTTTACATAACAACTGATAATATCCCCTATTATTTCATTGACACCTATTGCCTGTTAGTTCTCTTTGCTAAAGCATGCTGGTAACTACAGGCTTGTGGTATTATCTTGTGGAATTCCGCACCTGAGACACTGTGACAATTAGGTACGGTCTGTACTGTGTCCGAAATTCATCAGCCCGAGACAACAAACACTCTCACACTCATCGTCTCTGCAAAAAAAAAAAAAGAACTACCAGTTTGGGCTGATTGGAGATACCAGCCAGTTATGTTTCAATGCTCATAATATTCACCGCATTTAATTGTACTATACCAGGAAGTAACTTGGCTTCAATGTGCGGAACGATATAACTACAACTTGTTACAATATTTGAAGTGTGTAAATCTTACTTCAGAGCTTAAAACAACCTTAAACATGAATGTCTTGTTGCAATGTGCAGAACGATATAACCACAACTGGGTACAATATTTGAAGTGTATCAATCTTGCTTCGGAGCTTAAAACAACATTAAACATGAATGTCTTGTTGATTGTAAATGTGACTGATAGGCGTTGCGAATATTCTAACTCATAGAATTTTTCGAGCTCTTTGAAGAGGGGTATATAATTACGATCGTAATCTTTATGTAAAGATGGTTTCACTGCAGTTGAATAATTCTATACCACGAAAACACCTTTTAATGACAATCTGCATTGCCGCTTCACTTCAGGGTTAAATTGGCATATCACCCTCACGTGCGACATATTTTCAGCGCAAAAGCAGAAAGCGAAAGAAGGGAAAACACAAGGCCGGTGCTAAACATTAACTGGATTTATTTCGGAAAAGACCATGAACAGCAGACCATTTTGCGTGTGGCCGCTGCGTCGCTAATCAAGTATAAAATTAAAAAGTCTGCACTCTTAGTGAATACTTGAATAGATGGACGTGTCACTAATATATTACCCTCACATTAACTTATCATTTTCATATCTTTTTATATCGCTTTATAAGCTTTTTCATATCGCTTTACATATCACTTTTCAAAAGCTTTTCATATCGCTCAATATGCTTTTTAAGTACAGTAAAGTTTAAAACGTATCATGGTTTACATGTTCTCACCTGCATTCTATCAAAAGTCAAATTCTGTCACCATGCAAAGTTGCTTCCACTTCGTTTGAATCAAAAAGAATAACATTTGTAAATACTTTGGAAATTATCTTTATTAGAAACATAATTACTGGTTAATTGGTCATGACAACTATGCAAATTTTTATTTGTAATATTGATATATTCTGTCCGAATTCGGTTCGAAATTATTCGCCCGAACCCCTATTCTCTTTGAATCCGCTTCGAACCTGAGATTTACCATTCGCACAAACCTAGTGACCAGGCTGCAGCTCGGTGCTATATTTTTACGTAGCACTCATGCAAGTTGGTATGGGCAGTGACTCAAGTGATCGTATTTTGTTTCTTGCAGTGAGCCCACTGTGCTTTATGTACGCAGAAGTCGGCATCATGTACGCGGTGTTTCGTGAAATGTATTGTCGCTACTTCCACAAGTTAATGGCAATTTCGTCTGACCCCCAGGTAAGAAACATTGAAAATGACACTTCTGCGGAGGACACGTAACCACCGTGTCTGTGAAATCTTACATGCCTAACTTTACCAATAGAAAACTTAACATGCGCTTACTTTTGCTTCGCATTTGTCAGGTGGACATTGAAGCTTTGTTCAACCCGAAAGTGTTTTATGCCAGGGTCCACCACGGTTGCTGACGTACTTCCGTCAGGAAAGTGGCGTTAAAGAGTATATACTAAGAGATTGCAAAAAAAAAAATCGCAGCATATTCACGGAGTGACTGATGATGAGTGGGGCGAAGCGTCTATCTGTCTGTATGTATATACCTATGTATGTTTGTCTACCTGCCCATTTGTTCAAGCATCCGTCCGTCCATCTGTTCGTGCGTCCGTCCATCTATCTGTTAGTCTGATACTGCCGATTACGCCTGATGCAGGCCAAGGTTAGACTAAGAGGAGCTTCGCCCCTAAAATCACAGCGTATCTATGGAGCGAATGATGATGAGCGAAGCGAAGCGTCTGTCCGTCCGTCCATGCGTGCGTCCGTCGTCCGTGCACGCGTCTGTGCATCCGTCCATGCGTCGGTCCGTCAATCTGTGTGTCTGTCTTTTTTGTTTGTCTGGTCACGAGTACGAGCCATCGAGGCCCTCCACTCCGTTTCGTCCATGCGCCGCCAACGAGGCGACGAGCACGGGGCGCCGTGGCGCTCCGCGCCCGCCACTCTGCTTCGTCCATGCCCCACCAACAATCCGCCACGTACGGTGACGATCCAGGAGACCGAGAGGGGCACTCCTTCCTCGCGCACCCAGGCACAATCCGCGCAGCAGCCAATCGGAGAGGAACGGTACAGTGCCATCTGGAATATTCTCGCTCAACTGCAGTTTTTATGTGCTTCTATGAGACAGTGCCGTCTATTATATTGTTCAGAAGATACAGGCTTCCTTTTTTTTCTCGTCTCTTCTCTCGGTTACGCCTGACGCAAGGCAAGGTTAGAGTAAGAGTAGCTTCGCCCCTCAAAACCAGAAGGAAAGCATCCGCCGCGTGGAATTGAACCAGCAACTTTCCGATTCTCAATGCACGGCGCTAACTACTACGCCACAGATCTTACGTTGTCTAGTATGCTAATGGCAAGCCATTTATAAACATCGTAAACCATTTTTCAGTCCTCAGAACTTTGAAACTTTAGCGCGTTTTTGTTATCAATGGCGAGATAGCGCGATAGACTCACGTTGGGCGCGCTCTAAAGGTCGTCGTCTCCACGAAACGCCCGCCTCCACAGAGCATGGCATCTCCTGCACGCGTGCTTATCAAACTGGTAATTCGATAGAGGACGAAGGTCACTTCACATGCTGCCACAGCCGCTTTAACAAAAGGAGCACACTGCTGACACACGACGCAGGAATATTGTGACAGTTGTTGGCGCCTGCATTGTGTATCTTTTGCTCTCGTTTTGTGCGTCTTTCTTTCTGTTTGAACTGTCCGCGCCCGTCCTGTGTATGCTATAGTTCCGTGCGTGCTTTCTGCTTGAGGTGTGCGCTGCAAGTTTCGAGCTGCTTCCTCTTGCTACCTGACTTTGCAATTTTTAGGGGCGAAACTCCTCTTAGTCTAACCTTGTCACTGGTCATGCGTAACCGAGAGAAGAAGAGGTGAGAAAGAAAAGAAGGCAAAAGAAATGAATGATCATTTCTCGTGTCATTTCCTAGATGACGTTGCTCAGCCGCTACTCTCCGAAGCGCAGGTACTCTCTGATTGGCTGCTGCGCGCGCTTTGCCTGAGTGCGCACAGAATGAGTCCCTCTCTATCTCTTGGATGGTCGCCGTACGTAGCGGATCGTGTGTGGGGCATGGACGAAGCACAGCGGCGGGCGCGTTGACGACGCTTGCGCTTGGCTTCCTTGGCTCGCGTCTCGTCGGTGTTACCCGCTCGCCATGTGCATTCGCGAACGCGATCGGACGAATGAACAGACGGACACACGGACGGGTGGATGGATGAACGCTTCGCTCTATGCACTCATCATCATTCACTCCGTGGATATGCTGTCATTTTTATGTTGATAAAACAATGCACAATAATCACTCAATTGCCTCTGTAAAGAGACATTTCACTTTCGTGTTATACCGATTCCTATATGGGGGGATTAGCCACGCTTTTTTTCTGAAACCCGTTCTACAGCGGCAATTTGTAGTTGGTTGGGCGAGAAGTTGGTGCAAGTTTTATTTATAAATAAAATAAGATGAACATGTAAGGGGCTCACAGTATGTTTGTTGTATAAAAATGTGTAGATGACGATAAAATGTAGCATGATCATCATGGGGAGATCAGTGTCGGAATAAATAAGAGGTATCCCGCAGCGTGGGTTTGTGCACTCCAGCGTGGGTACGCCACTGCTTATTTTCGAAGACAGTGCGTGCTGGAGTCCGCTCTGCCTATGCGTCTGTGTCTGCGCCTGCCTCATTCGTCGCTGCAAGATTCTGCTAAAGCTGAGTGAGCACTGATTGTTTCGTCTAAAGTTCGAACGGGTCTAAGTAATAGCGGTTGTTAGGCCAGTTACAGTTTATGTATTGCTGGCTGATCTGATATCGACGAATTCTCAGGGAGATGGTCCGTGATGGTCTCCGCCTTGGTCGGCCTCTCTTGCACCTGATCGAATGCCTTTTGTAGCGTTTCTTTGCAGTTGTGTAAGCAGTATTCCTCTAGCCTTAGTATCCCTGCATGAAGGATTCATTCGGCTTACCAACCCGAAAATGGTACAGGGTGAGCTCCAGTTGGGCACGCGCCACTACGTTCACATTACTAATGTTCCGCAGTTAGGCAAAGCTGGATAGTATGTAGTTCGCCTGACCAGGCTTTTGTGTATGATCTTTTGAAATGCTCGACATTTGGATCGATGAAGGTGAATGCTTTCATCCTGCCCCACCTAGCGTGCACCAAGAAAATTGTTTGCGGCGTAGCTGCTAGTTTAAGCCTAGAAGTGACGTTCGAGAAGCTTTCCGTGGCTGGTGTGAGAGCTATTTACCGGTGCAATAGAATAGTCGACAACAAACGGGTCTCGACTGAGTTGGTGACAGCCACACTTGCCGGTATTTCATGCCCATAGAAAATCAAAGTGTGGTTTTTGATTTTTAGAGTAGACCCGCTCGCCTCACGTCCCTTACAATGTCGCAACTGCTGGCGCTACAGCCTTAGTCTGGGAGGTTTCAAATCTGCTTTGCGCTGTTGTTCTTGTGGTGTGGGTCACTCCCCGAATGACTGCTCTGCTCAGTTGCTTAATAACTGCCTGTGTAGAAGACAAAGAGACTGACGTGCCCTCGTTCACGGTTTATTGATTGAACGCAACTTTTTAATTCTTCCCCTCTAGTGGCTCTGTCTTAAGCGCGCGCCACATACGAACTGCGCTGCACCATCCCATTCAATTTTTATCACACTCCCGCTGCCGCGTTCCATAAATGCGCCTCCAGAAGGTTGAGTCGCTGCACAGGACTTAGCACTTATTGACAGTCCGTCAGTGGTATCAAGAAGGAAGGCGCAGTACCGTTGTTTTCCGGAAACGCCTTAACCACACGATCCGGCTTCCTCGTGTGAGGCAGCGTATTTAAATCTACCTGGACAACAGGCTTTGCGCTAGGAGACGGCGTAGGCCTTCTGTAGTGAGCACCATGCAGAAACAAGATATCTTCCTTCTTAACTGCTTCCGTAGGTTCCGCAGTATATGTGCCTGATGCTGAGCTCAATGTGGTGCGACTGCCGACTAAAAAGTGGGATGGTGTCAGAGCGTCTGTTGATAACACCTCTGAGTACGTGAGTGGACGACCTTTAACTGACGTTTCGACTTCCGCCAGCATGGTGTGCTGAATTCTACTTTGCAGCAATCGTTCGTGTGCTGCGTTAACTAAGAGGCGGATGAACCGCTGATCAGCAGAAAGCAACATCGGATACTTCATCTTCTGGGTGTCATCAAACAGCTGAAGCTTGCCTCTTACATTAGGTGCTTGATGACGGCCGAGCAATGGTTGTAAAGTCAGTACACTGGAACACTTTGAATCTTTTAGTCCCTTTTTGATGGCCATAATTTCTCTTGCAAATGCGGTGTGCTGGAGCTTCAAGCAATAAATCTCTGCCTCGTTCAAATTTGAAGCCGTCAGTGGTCCTGTTGAACATGGTTGCCTCGATTAGGCGTTGCGGCGAAATTCCATGATCCAACTCGGAATAATCGGGAACGACGTTCATAGTTCGAAAATTCAAGCAGATACTCACAGGAGCGTGTAGAGGGCATCAACACGGCGGTGGGGCATGCTGATGTCACTTCACTGGCCTCCCTATATGAGTATCATATGTTGAGGAAGTGAACAAAATCTGCGGAATTCATTGAGAATGATGCTCCGACAATTCCGAATGACCTGTCCACCACAGTGTCTTGCGCGTCAGTGCGTTGGCGGCTTCCAGAGGCTCGGTGATATCCATCACATCGAGTGGCCACATCACATCGAGTGGCCACATCTCTGTCGGGTCAGTCATGCACGATGTGGCTTGGCCATGGCACTCACACGAAAGGAATATAGCCGATGTGCTGTTCTCGTGACGCAAGCCGTTAGCACTGTCTACTTGGTATGTGCCTTGCACCAGCCAAGCAAAGATCGTCTCAATGACGCATTGGTCGTTCCTCAGGCGTTCAGTTCTACCCGTCACTGTACTCCAATAGTTGTCCGATCCGATGACGACACTGATAGCTTGAATCGGTCGATTTCCGAGTCGCTGTTCATCAGCCATTAGCATCTTGCGTTCGTGAAACTGCATCAGAACATCTTGACCGATTGCTGGCATGCTCACCGCGCATACACCTGGCACCTCCAGAGCATCCAATGTGACTTCGTGTGCATCAAAGCGACTCTGCAGCTTGAGTTGTACGGTTCGGTATTGGTAGTTTCTGGAACGTATGAAAGTGTCAAGCGTTAGTAGTGACAGGTCTTGTGTGCCGACGGAAGGTAGACCGAGTCTCGTGGACACCTCACGTCGTATAAATGTCCTTTGGCTGCCAGTGTCAAGCAGTATAAGAACCAGCACGAAATTGTGCCTTCCTGACGCCCATACTGTGGCCTTTTGCATGAGAACCACTGGCGATTGGGAAATGAATTTGCTTAAGTCAGCACTGGTGATCACTAGCACGTTGTCAATTTTTGTGGTGTCACTGTTGTCAATATTCTGTCGTTGTACGGTTTCTATATTTCTCGAATTGCGGTAAGATGATGGCTCACGCGGTGCTTGCACTTAAGCTACGCTGCGTTGCGGCACTGTCGTGCGACGTATCGCTTTCTACTTGAATCAGCAGCTGTTCTCGATTAGCTGCATCCGAATCTAGTCGGCTGTCATGGTAGTCTGACAGTTATTTACGTGCATTCATGGTGGCCACATAGTACGCAGCATGCATGGCTGTTTGTTGCAGATCCTGCGGCCAGCGCTAATGCTGATGGCACCGGCGGCTGAAAGTGAGGATCAATTCGTTGGTGTCTCACGGGGCTGGATTTCCGTGGGCACCTCGAGCGGGAGCTCTCTTCCCTGCTGTCGATTTAAATGTAGAGAAACTTCATCATGTGACGCACCTCTTCCTGACGTGACCTCGTAGTAGCCCCGTCGTTCACCTCCCTCCTTCATGCGCGTGCAGAATAGCAATGTCTTCGGGGAGTGATCACATGAGCACGCGATGAAGTATAAACGCGTATTCCGATGCTTCAACTCCGGGGCTATCCATTCAGCTGGTGCGAAAGCGTATTTTTTGTATAGTTCACGCAGCTGTGATATGTTGGAGGAATGGTCCGCTGTAGCGATGGAAAGCAAGCTGTCGACGTATTCCTCTACGAGGTCTGTATGATGGCCAATTTTCTCTTGGAGCACCTTGATTGCTACAGAGCCGTCCGCTTGCTCCAGTCGAACACCCTGGATTGAACATTTGGCTGGTCGAGAGACAGATGAGGACAGGCGCAAACTAACAACTGGCTTTATTCAAGGAAGATCCACACCTTCATATAATGACACCCTGCACAGGGACACTGCCACAACAACCACGAAGATTCAAACCAGACGAGATGTCAAAGCACTAACTCGCCTAACAGTCAACTCCTTTGGAGGAATCCACAGAATGGTCTCGAATAAATGGCTACACAGGCACAATACTTCCTGATACTTGGCTTTCTGCTAATCTACTTGTGAACACTCTTGCGAACGACCCTGCATGTTTCTTTGGATCCCCATTTGTTTTTTGTGTTTTTTTCTAGTACTACATTTTGTTTTTCTAAAAATAGAGTTTGTCTTGTTCAAGTTTAGCTTTAGTGCGTATTTCTACAATCATCTACTGGACATATAACGAGGACTTGTGCCGCACTTACGTGTCTTTTAGGTGTACGTTGTCTTCAAGTGGCAGTGGCCACTGTCCCTGAACGAGCATGGTTACGGAAAGCAGCAAGACAAAGCATATTATTGGTATTCCTTACATTAATTGTGTATCTAAAAGGATAAAGAAAGTAATAGGGTAGATATGGCGTTCATGTTGCTTTTACAGGGTCTTTCAAGTATTTTTTTTTCTTTTATTACCGTACAAGTTTGGAGTAAAGGGTTCCATTTATCCGCCACCGCTTCTGCGTAGGGAAGACGAGTCGTTGTGTTAACCAGAGGTTAACGGAACATAAAACTGCAGAAGGCTGTCTAGAATGGTCAGTTGCTATTCATGATACTGTGAATGAGTAGCACGAAAAACTGGACTAAGATGGAGGGACATACAACACGAACGCGGACAATGTGTGCAAGTTTATTGTGATGCAGGTTCATTGTGACAGAAAATACCTACCAAAAATAAGAGCTAAAACATGAACTGTCAGATGGTCTCCGTGATGAAATGCACGTCCACCACGAGTAACTTGTATCCATATCTGTAGCGCAAGATAAAAAACACAGACGCAGACAAAAGTAAGGAACACATACACAGGATGATACTAGCACCTATCTTGTGTATGTATTTTTTTTACTTTTGTCTAACTTAACTGGACAAAAAGATCATGTCCTTTGCTTTAATGAATGTGAGGTCATCTCAAGATATCGAAATTGGATGGAGCACGAAGTCGAGAAAGCTTTTCATATGTAGAGAAAACAGAAACACGTGTGTCAGCGAACCCTCAATTGCTCTCCTAGAAAAGGAGGAATGTTTTTTTTTTTTAGTTCAATTGTATTCTCTTGACGTGTGACAGACGTGCATTTCTTCTCTGTGACCATGTCACCGTTGATGTTTTTTTTTCAGATCTTTTTTTGCTACATATTTCCCGCCCCAATAAACTTGCGCCCAGTTGTTCGTCAGCGTTCATGCTGGTCTGTTCTTCCGTGTTAGTCCCATTTCCCTCGCAAGAACGTAACAAATCGCTACCAGGAGATATATATTCACGTTGTCTGAAGCCCAAGTGCACGCCTGATTTGATGAATATGTGTGATTTCGTAGCGGCGCAGAAATGCAAAAACACGTTTAATGGTTGAGTGCCGGCATATCGACTGTAGTGGTTGCGCATGCGGGAGGTAATCATTAACCTGCATAAAGAAATAAATCCAGTGTCTGAATAAGTAAACCACCACATGTGCCGGATTGATAAGTTAGGAGGAGGAGGAGGAGGAGGAGGAGGAGGAGGAGGAGGAAATGAAAGGCAGGGAGGTCAACCAGACGCACGTCCGGTTTGCTACCCTGCACTGGGGGAAGGGGTGAGAGGATTAAAGGAGAAGAGAGAGATGATAAGTTAGCCTCTTGCATAAGCGTGTGCAGATGTTTTTGTGTCGACCATTTTTTTTTTCACCGCTTTTCAGTCGGCGTCTTGACTTCTCCCACGTGTCTGTGATGTCCTGTCTCTTTCACATGGATACGCACTCTGATCAGCTCTCTGTCATTCCAGTGTCTCGCTCGATGCAAGCGCGTCACGGGGTCTGTTTTTCTTTCAGGGCATTGTATCATTGCTGCTGACCTTTGAGAGACTGGTCCAGTACAGGGAGCCCGAGTTCCTTCCCGCGCTTGCCTCCAAGAATGTCAATTTGTAGGTTGGTTTCACTTCATCGATAAAAAAAAGGGCAAAGCAGCTTGTACTTTTTAACGACAAATTGACGTCTTCAAAACATCGCAGGCAACCTATAGTGTTCCAAATGCTCATGCAATCATTTTGCGCGCACCTGCCAGTGGAAGAAGTCCTGAGACTGTGGGACAGGATTCTAGGCTACGATTCTGTCTATGTCCTTCCGGGTAAGATTTTGAAGTTTTATAAACCTTGTCCGGGAGCTTTCTCATTACAAGGCTCAGTTTTTTTTTGTTGAAATGACTGGCAAACTGTTAAGTCGTCTAAACAAACGCGCGCTGCCACGCATGTGATTTTCACCAGCATATAGTGTTTCTCATGTCCCTTCTTTTAATGTTGAAATGGGTAGTGACCCAAAAATTTTCAGTGGCCTTTTTTTATGTGTGTCAAATAAAAGGCCCAGTCCTCGTTAGCCTGTAAAATACACTGCTAAGCGTGAGTGCTCTCAGTAAAAATAATTGCAGTGTGTTTTTGAAGGCTGCAGTCCGAAAGCTTCCTCACATTGTGAACGTGAAATGCGCTCTTCAGCGTCGCGTTTTGAGCAGCATTTACTCGAAATACGTGTGGTTTTTCCTCTGTCCAAGCGTGACGCCGGTCGAGGAAACGTATAGGTTTAACGCAATGTTTTGTAGTGACTGTAACACAGCTGATGTGAAAAATTCATGCGAGATACACTTCTGCGAGAACTTGTTTTTTCAGTTTTGCCCTGTCGCGAACAGGCACGCTTGAAAAACGCGAGTATGTGGTGTAAATAAACCTCAATACCAATTTCGCACTCGTTCTATTCCTGACTAAGTATTTTTGATGAGGTCTCCGGATCGGATTCGCATATTTTAAACTCGTTATGACAAGAGCTTTGTAAGTAGTTAATACTGCGGTTGATGACTTTGACGCAATTTTTTTTCAAAAATTGCAAGCTTTTTTTAGCGCGTTGCTGCAAACATTTTTTATATGTGTTTCCCATGCTAAACTGTTTGTGATTGTAATAGCTAAGTACTTTACTTTATTGTTTTTTAATGTAAGCGTTATTATACGTATAAAAATTCTAAGATTTTTTTTGTTTCCAAATGTAGTACATTAATCTTCGAAGTATCGCACTTCAATCTCGATGCTTCACACCATACGCAAATTGAGTACAACGTATCATTGAGCCGAATTTGGTCGGATTGGTTAGTCACATTCGCATGTACAACACAGTCGAATCTTCGCAGTTTTTTATTTTTTTAGTTATTTACAGGTTCTGCAGGCCTTTACATAGGCCCTAGCAGAGTCCTTCAATGCTGTGTGGCCCTAGTAAGAGGGGCAACAACAACAGAAAAATAAAAAGTTGTACACTGTCACAGCACATGAGCAAACGACTCACAGAGCTCTTAGCCGGCAGTGTTAAGGCAGATAAACAATCAACATACGTAGCAAAAGTCTACAAATTGTTCACTCGGCCACTGCCCACATGCCATATTCATACATCATTCAAAAACTAAATTAGACAAAAAAGCTTCAAATTGTTTTTCAATATCTTCGGATTGAAAAGCACTTACTTGTAAGGAGTTCCAGTCGACAATAATCGAGGGAAAAACTATTTTTGAAAGCAGTAGTACGAGCAAAAACAGATGCCAATGAACATTTATGGTTATGTCTTGTTTTTCTAGAAGATAGACGTTTCACACAGTTGGGCGAACTCGTTGTGACTTTACCAGAAATAATTTTGTGTAGAAACGTTAACCGGTTAATTTTCCTGCTAGATTCTAATGTTTGGATGCCATTAAGTTGCATAATATGTGTAGGTGAATCATGTCTTTTATATTTGCTAAAAATGAATCTGACCACCTTCCGTTGAACTTTTTCAAGCAACACAACATCTTTTTTACATTGGCGGTCGGAAACAACCGAGGCGCATTCAAGCTTTGATTCAATACAAACGTTGTATGCCAATAATCTGGTCTCCTTCGTGGAACATTCAAGTTTCCTTTTAAGAAACCACTGTTTCCGAAGTGCGGCCGTGCACACGCTTGCAATGTGATCTGACCATGCAAGTGTTTTAGTTAACGTGACTCCTAGGTACTTGTATTTTTCTACTTCTTTGAGTGGTTTATTGGAGAGACTATAAGTTTAAATGCTGGGAGCGCGTTTTCTTGTTATCCTCGGGGGAACTGTTTTGTCTCTGTCAAGTTACATGCCCCAGTCTTGACACCATTCATCTATACTTGTCAGAGATTACTGAAGTAACATGTGGTCATTTACACAGCATATTTCTTTGAAAACAACACAAATGGTGTAGGCCCGTGTACTCAGATTTGGGTGCACGTTAAAAAACCCCAGGTGGTCGAAATTTCCGGAGCCCTCCACTACGGCGTCTCTCATAATCATATGGTGGTTTTGGGACGTTAAACCCCACAAATCAATCAATGAAAACAACACAATAGTCTGCGAATATTCGAATATATATGTCCTTATGTATGACATAAATTAAGTCATTAACAAAAATCAAGAATAATAAGGAGCCTAACACGCTACGTTGTGGCACACCGAAAGAAATACGTAGAGAAGAAGAAGCACAACCCCTGACCTCAACAAATTGAATTCGGGTTTTTTTTTTTTTTTTTAATACGCATGAACCCTGCTAACAGTTCCCGAAAGGAGCCCAATAATTTTGAGCTTAAGCAAAAGTTTTCCATGAAGCACGTTGTCAAATTCCTTACTAAAATCTAAAAAAAAAACACATCAGTATGCCCTGATATATCAAGAACCCGTACGAATTCATGCACTAGCTGTGGACACAAGCTGAGTTACCGTAGACATATTTTTTTTTTTTTTGGAAACCATGTTGATATGACGACAAAGTATTATTTTCTGATAAAGCTTTGTTTAGAAATTGGCAACAACAAGTTCTAAAATTTTATAGCAGCGTATAGAAACAGGACGGTAGTTTGACAAGGAATGGTGGTCACCTTTTTTTAAAACTCAGCACAACACGAGCTGTACGCTAATTCACCGGTATCTCACCACATTTCAGTGATGAATTAAGAAGGGCAGTAAGGAAGTCAGTAATTTGCTCTGCATAGCGACGTTGGAACGAGTTGCCAACGCCGTCAGGCCCTGACGATTTCTTAAGATTAACCTTAAGTAACGTTTGCAGAACAACCTCACGAGTTAGGAGACCGTCATCTGTGATTATAGGCATCGGGTCGCACAGTTCATAATACTGTGGTTCAGAAAAGCTACTTTGAAAGTATTAAAATGATCAGCGATTGTTGCCAGATCAGTTATCGAGACCTCGACAACTAGTATTTTAGAAACTTTATTACTTTGTTTAAGGTAGCACCAAAATTTATCATGATCCAACTTGATGAACTCCGGTAGTGTGTCATTAAAAAAATTGATGCCTAACATTACGAACACTTTCTAATTTTTTTTTTGTTCAGCAAAATTCTGCGTATTAGTCCTATGTTTTTTTTCTCAACCTTTTCATTTTTCTTTTGAGCTGTATAATCTCGCATTTTATTCATGGGTTACGTAAACGCTTGCGTATTCTATTAAGTGGTACAAAGTTTTTTGTGTAGAAGTCCACAATACCACGGAACTGTTGCCAGGCATTATCAATATCGCTAACAGATGTGGTGAGATACGTTTCTAAATAATCAATTATTGCAACATCTTCCGCCCGTCTGAAATTTCTTACTACACTTTCCACTGGCCTTGTCACTGATTTATCTTGACCATACATATCCCAAACCAAGAATATTTATACTATGATCAGAAGTACCGGATATTCGCTCCTGCAAATATTTCTGTCTTAAATAGCAGATCAAGTATGGAACTTTCTCTTTTGGGATGTCTTACTATTTGCTCAAGGCCAAGGAAAAACATTATGTCTAAAAGTGTGTCAGCTGAAGAAGTACCATAATTTATACCATCCCAATTGATTTCTGGAAGGTTGAAATCACCCGATAAAATAAGAGTTTCGCTTCGTAGACTTAGTAGCGGATCATACAAATCACTCATAAAAGAATCCTCAGCAGTAGCACATCGTTAAACAGCACAGAAAAAAACGACATACCAGAAAATTAAACTTTAAAAAGCAGAATCTCTCTCACTGAAACATGCTGAGCAATAGCTATCTATATCAATGCCCTGCTTGATGATGCACGTTAAAGAACCCCAGGTGGTCGAAATTTCCGGAGCCCTTCACTACGGCGTCTATCATAATCATGCGGTGGTTTTGGAACGCTGAACCTTACATATCAATCTATGCTTGATAATGACAGTCACTCCACCATCACGAGAACCGCGATCACATCAATAAATTTGGTAATTAGGTGGCACTATCTCGCTATCAGCAATGGCTTCGTGCAACCAAGTTTCTGTTATCACACATACATGTGCATCTTGCAAGAGTGAAATATTTTCCAGCTGCCTAATTTTATTGGTTATATACTGCGTGCATTGAAGCAAAGCAAGCGAAGTTGGTGCTCCCCTAGGCGCTAGCTGGGGTGCCCTACTGCACTCTCATGTGACACTTTCCTACGTGCGTTAAGCGAGTCGTCCCAGAAGAAAATGCTGTTATCAATGTGAAGCCTATCATAAACCAGAGCAACCTTGCTACCGCTTTCTCCGTCCGCCTTAGCGGTTGCCCGTAGTAGCTTTCTTTTGCGGAGCGTGTCAGGGCAGTAATAGTTTTGAATACGAATTTCGGTTCCCTTCAGCTTTCGTGCTTGATGAAACACAGCTTGCTTTTCCGTGTAATCTTGAAAATAAAGTATAACGGGATGTCTGCTTGATACCAGCTTACCTAATTTGTGAATCCTCCCAATTGACGTGCAATTCAACCCTAATCGATGATGAAATTCGCCCTTCACTACCTTCTCACGTAGTTCTGCTTCAGTGCCAGCGGCGCTATAATACCGAATACAAGAAGATTATTCCGGCGACTTCAATTCTCAAGGTCAACCACTTTAGAGTGATGACTGTTAATTTGCCACTGAATGGAATCTACAGACTCCTTAATTGATTCACTCACACCCTGCCAATTCTGTGGTTGTTTTACAATTTCTTCTAAGTTATTCAGACACATTTCAAAGGGGCTTAATAATGCTTCTTTTGACTCTAAACTTATACGTTATAGGCTTACAAGTTCAGCACGGATATCAGTTTGTCCATGCAAGAGCTCTTGAAACATCTCATCAACAGTTGGTCCTGGGTTTTGCTCGACATCTCCACACAGCAATAACTTTCAAACAAAATAACAGTCATACACATTATTAAGACGTTTCCGTAAGCACAGCACATTGACAAGTAAAATTTCATCCTCCGTCTTATGATTTAAAAGGGGAAACCTAACCTGTACAGCACAAAAGAAGCGTTTCGTTAGCGGCATCTTTCCAGCCGCTTCACTGTGCCCACTGAAGGACCAACTGTGCAGCCTGTCTTCAAAAGGGCGATCCAACGATGACGTCACATACATGCGTTGTTCCGAAGGGGGCCTATCCACCTTGTTCAAATTCGATAAGGGCAACGGGCAGAAGCCAGTAGTGCCAAGTTTAGTCGGCGCAACTTTATTCCCAGTAGTGAAAGGTTCCCATTGCCCGGCGAGTTGAATGAATATAAGATAAATATCATTTATGTAAATTAAGAACAATAAAGGGCCGAGTACCGAGCAGTGCGGCAATGCCGAGTGAACATCCAGTGTATAAGAAACACAATCCTTAACCCCAACATATTGTTTCCTTGAGGACAAATAGGATGCTATCCAACGAATGATATTGGGTTCAATGCTTATAGAATGTAGTTTAGTTAGTAAATCAGCATGCGTAGCAACATCAAACGCTTTGGAAAAGTCCAAAAACACTGCATCAGTTTGACCTTTCATATTTTGTACACTTAGAAAATCATCCGTTATCTCAGCTGTGCTAATGTGGATGAGCCAGCCCTAATGCCATGCTGATTCGCATGAAGTAAATTATTAAGCATTTTACAAGCCGTGAATGGAAGAAACTGCTCTGTAATTATTTAACTCTAAAGAGAACCGAACCTGTGAATCAGAACTATTCTTGCAGAGCACCACTCATCAGGTATCACACAGAATTATAAGGAGTTTTTATAAATTATAAATAAGTACTGTGCTATCCAAATTGCATACTTCCTGAGAAAAAGGTCTCATATTTTGTCCAGCCCTGGGAATTTTTCAATGATTAAATTACGCAAAAGGCTAAAAATGGCGTTTTTGCTTTATTTACTTTATTGCGGCCACGCACCTTTCTTTATGTTTTCTATTTTCATGCGACCGAGATGCTGTGCATGTCACTTGGCGACGGTCGTGCTCGAATGTATCGAAAGCATCCCGAATGTTGCAAGCTCTTGGGAGAAAACTGCGTGCATCACGCGATACTGAGTCCAGTTTATCCGGAAATAGCGTGGTCACTATCGACAACGCTGACAACTTCTATCGGGAATGTATACAGCTGATGTGCTCAACCAATGACCAGATTATTATGCAGTCGATGACCGTGCTCGTCGCTGTCGACGTATTGTCAACTGTTACTTACTTGTATAGTGCTACTTGATTTTCTGGGCACAAATTCGCCCAATAAGAAGTTTCATCGCAGCAGTGTAACTACCGCCTTATCCCTGGCCGCAACCACGCGACAGGATGATTAAATGGCTACATGTGCAAATACGTGCACAGTTTAAAGCGAAATCGCCACATACTGCCAGATCTAACGTATGTGGCGGAAACAAAGCAACCAGAGAAAAGATTGGGGACCACGGAATATGGCACGTAAAATGATTGGAATAACATTTCAGAGTCCTTAAGACGCGTCAGAACGGCCCAGGGAGCAGGTGTAGGGGATATCCCAGTTGACCTCAAGTGGCAGAAATGGACCTAGGATGACCACGTAATGCGCGTCAAGTGGGCAGTGTGAGCTACAGAACGGTTACCAAGGTGTTGGGAAACGCAATCGAGGGAGAGTCATATGAAATGACGAAATCAAGAAGTTCGCAGAGATGAAATGAAATCAGCTGCACAGAAAAGGTTAAACTGAATAATATTGTTAGAGGCCCTCATCCTGCAGTGCAATAAAACAAGTTGAGAATTATGAATTGTGACAGGCAAGCTCGTTTGATTGCACTGCAGAAACCTCAGTCACCAACAACTTTCTATTCACAGTTGCAGCTGCAAGCTTGGTATGCTCCAAGAAGACAGAAATTCTCGGCACGAAAGATCAGTCCTCCCTAGAGGTAAGCAAAGCAAACTTTTGGCGTCTTTAAACGTGACATAAAATTGTGTGAGTCTGCTTACATTTGATGCGTTTCCCTGCAGGACATGTTTAACAAGCTCCAGCCTTGCGATGTCATTTCTACGCTGGAAGAATTCCTCAAGCCTCCCAACTTGTGAAATGAAGAGTACACCTTCACTGCCCGTGGTGTCCCTTAAAGACACTGACAATCCACTTTAATGGTGCTTGTGTTACAGCGGAAGCTGTTATGAGATCGAAACTCGCGTCACGCGTGGCTCCGTAGTTGTCCGCCGCCACTGCCGCCGCCGCCGGTGTCCGCAACCACGATAGCAGAAAAAAAAAAACAGTACCAGGGACCCAGTGGGCCTCAAACCCGGGTCCACTACGTGCCAGCCCAGTATTCTTCCACTGAACTACGCCGGTTTTTTTTTTTTCGTGGCATTTACAAAAGTATTTGAGTTCTAAAAACAAAATAATGCAAACAAACGTTCGATCAAATGGCGACAATAAGCGCCGAAGCGTTACTAATAAACACAATGGCTAACACAGCGAGAGTCCGTCACATCGAGAGTTCTTCACATCGTGTTGTACAAACAACAAATGGGTGAGGCCAAACACTTTTCCAAGATGTAGTGCCAGTTCGGTTTAAAGTCTAGATCGTCGTAAATGTCTTTGAGGTGAACAGCCGTTTGAATGACGTGTGTACTTGAAGAGGTGGTGGGTTCTGTATCGCGGTCCTGTAAGTTCGTGTCTTTCATAAGCTGTGCATACCCGAGCTACGCTGGTGTTTGGAACTTCTTACGCGAGTCCTTTCCCGACATAAAGCTTACCTAAGGCAAGTTCGCGAACAAGTCCCAAGCTACGCCGGTGCTTCGGACTTCTTCGCGAACTTGCCTTGGGTACATAGTAATAAGGGCTGCAGCGCGAGCACGAATGTGCTAGAAGAAACAGACAAAGTCGAGGTACGGAAGGCAAAAGAGGACAACACGAGCGCTGTGTTGTCTTTTGCCTTCCGTACCTCGACTTTGTCTGTTTCTTCTAGCACATTCGTGCTCGCGCTGCAGCCCTTATTACTATGAATTCAAACCAACTAGCCCAAATCGCCATTCTTCTTCATTGCCTTGGGTAGGCTTGATGTCGGGAAAGGAGTCGCGCTAATATGAGTAACAAAACGTTTTAGAACTGCAAAAGAACAACCACTCGTCACGCAATGAGAATAGAGTAACAAGTGGGTAGTCCAATGCTCCAACCAACTACAGCAGTTTGTTCTTAAACACCTATTAACTGTGGCGCATACCCACTTCTGGCATGATTCCTCATCGTCGTCGCACGAAATTGCTTGCAAGTGTTTAGCGGATACCACGCTTCTCAGAAGAATGACGAAGGATACCATAGCAAATGCTGGCCTATACTACCCAGAATTATTATTATTAATGCCATAGTGGGTACCCAGCAAGTGTGCTTGCAGCAGTTACTCAAGGAAGCTCTTCTAGTGAGGAAGCTTTCGCCGTGAGTGTGCTACACTTCGAACTTGCCTGGCGTTTTTTTTTTCTTTTGTCCAACAGAATACTTGCGGCTGACATTTCTAATCAATAGTAACACAAAGTGTGGTAAAACATTTATTATTGTCAGAAATTTTATATCTGTGGCGCCAACGAAGTCGTACGCTCAACATATGCTGCGAACAGTAATAGATGAAGGTGGTAGCGGTTCGTATTTGGGCACTCCGAGTGCTTGCGCCCTGGCGTGGTGTAGTTCCAGCAGCTGCCATGAAGGCAGTGCCGTTTTCCAAAGTGAGCTTCTCACTTTGAAATTAGTATAGACTATTCTCCGTAAGACTTCTGGGCACCGCCATCTTGCATGGGCTGCCGACGTTTTTTTTTTGTTTGTTTTTGTACATTGTGACGTGAATTAATGAGGTTATAATATATCGTTTGCACCGATTCCCAACTGTTTAATGCGCATGCGTCTACTGCAACACTGTTCATTTAGTTGTCGAGAACATAAAACAAACCTTAGCAGCCCAGCATGGCGGCACTCTAACCCATCCTTAAAATGGTCTAGTGATTAAAAATTAGTAATGCCAAATAATGCACGCAATGTACTCTTCACCACAAACAGAGATGAGCCTAAAAACAACCGACTACATAGAGCATTCCAAATTTTTCATTAGCATAGTACCAAGGCTTGCCCACCAGGGGGCACTGATCACCTGTTTTCAAAAGACAATTTTAAAATATTGTCGCAGTTCAACGTAAGCAGTGCACCGAGACGTTGAGTCCGAGAACCAACGGCATGTTTTTTTTATGCAGGAGCCAAGAGCAGGCTAGCAAAACAAAAGCACGTCGTCTTCTTCAGTCCCCCTTTTCACGAGCTGTTGGCGCGCACATCGTCTTCGTTCTTTGTTTCGGGCGCGGCAATATTATATTTCAAATCACGAGAAAAATACTTCCTTCTGCCGCCATAATTGCACTTCCTCCAATATCTTGAGACATGCTGTGGCCGGCTGTCGCACAACGTCAGTAATCTGGGGCAACAACAAGATGCCATTTCCCTGTGCTTCTTTGTTATTCTTGGGCTGTTTTAAGTGTCTATAATTTGCCCTCAAAACTAGCCAACATATTTGCAACTGCCCGTATTCCTTTACTGCATATCGCATTTTCTGGAGGAGTTCTCACTCCCCGCCTCCGTGACGCAAAAATTTACGTCGTAACCTCATTTTGCAAGTGGTATATGCCGTCGAAGTTGTGTATGCGTGTTGATAGTGAATAATAAATACACTACAACGTGAGTTAACAGCATACGTTGTGCATATTACTGGCCAAGAGACTGCAAACTTTATCGCAAATCGTCGCAATTCTTTTCTCATAATTGAAACTTGAAATGCCAGTAGGAAAAAAGAAAGTGCCTTAGAAAAGTGTACCTTATAGCATTATATTATTTTTTCGTGTTCGTGATTATGAAAGTGTAGTATTTAATACCGACTTCTTATTTTAACGAGCGTCATTACTTTTTCAGTGCAGCGGCTGTAGTTCCTGACTTGATGTGAATTTGAGCGGCTGTATGTATGTATGTACGTATTTACGTATGTATGTACATATGTATGTATGTATGTATGTATGTATGTATGTATGTATGTATGTATGTATGTATGTATGTATGTATGTATGTATGTATGTATGTATGTATGTATGTATGTATGTATGTATGTATGTATGTATGTATGTATGTATGTATGTATGTATGTATGTATGTAGTCCACAACAGACTGCAGGATTTTGTGACAAATTCGTCGATATGATTTGTCACTTCCTGTAGCTCCCTCGTCGCGTAGAAACAAATTTCTTGGCGAGGTAGTCAATCTCGGGCTCCACTTTCAACAGCAATGAGCCAACGTAACTGTCATAAAACATTTGTGGTTCCTGCATCTGAAAGAGAAACAAAAAGAACGATATAAGATAAGCATTACTATATTGTATGAAATCAAGTGTACGCCAATCTATATACATCAATGCGATTTTCGTCTGCTATATGCAAATACTCTCAGTCAGTCTAGTGTCTTACGATGAAATTAAAGCAGCACCTTAAAGGGGTCCTGTAACACTTTTTTAGCATGGTCAGAAAACGTTGCCGATCGGTTATAAAGCCTGCCAAGAACACGCGAGCCAACTATTATAGCTCATCACTCGGCCTGGAATTTACAATAAATTCTCAGAGTGGAAAATCACTTTCTAATTCTTGACGATTGACGCTACATGCTCAGAAACCACTGCTCCGTAGGCCGGAGTTTCGCCGTTGGCTGATTTGGGCATGGCGCGCTCGAAAATCACTGTAGCCGCCGCGGGAGGCCGCATCCTGTCTGCGTGACGTGCGATCACCTCGAAAAGCTCCCCGCCGCGGTGTTCTAGTGGCTAAGATACTCAACTGCAGACCCGCTGGTCGCGGGATCGAATCACGGCTGCGGCGGCTGCATTTTCGATGGAGGCGGAAAGGTTGTAGGTCCATTTGCTCACATTTGGGTGCACTTTAAAGAACCCAGGAGGTCTAAATTTCCGGAGTCCTCCACCACGGCGTCCCTCACAATCATACGGTGGTTTTAGGACGTTCAACCCCACATATCAATCATCTATATCAATCATCTATCAGTTTCAAAGGGGCCATGACACGGTCACCTAACAATTTGTGGTATTCAGCAAAAACTAGAGATAGAGGGTCTGTTATACATGTGCAGATATGAAAGGGGGCCGTAAAAGAATATTTCAGCAGAAAACAAGCCCTACAAGTCGCCAGCCACCACAGGCGACCGTCATTCTTTCATGACGCGTGAGAATTCTTCTGATGGAAGATGCGGAGCTATGCGTCTTGTACCAAAGTTTAAGCCACTGCAAATTGTTCGTTTTCAATGCGAAGCTGGAGAAGGCTAGAAAATCTGCACTTTACGAGCAGCTGACCACGGAAAAATATCAGTTGCCGGAATGCGGGCGCTCGCACAGCTAATTACGTCGCGGCTCCAGAGTGCAACACGGTCGCGCAGCACTCGGGCTGCTCACGCGTTTATAAATATATTTAATTATAAATTAGGTGCCCGACCAAATGCGCTAAAGTTTCGCCAGCCTTTTTGTGAACGCACAAGGATTAGCTCACACAACACATATTTTTGATAAAACATTTAGTGTCATGGCCCCTTTGAACTGAATGTAACATGCAGTCGATTAAAAGCGCAGCACGTTCGTATTGGTTGGTCGGTTGGTTCCTCAACACCTTGGCGCAACCCACCTAGGAAGATAGGCCATGAATGGGACGGTGCCTTGCTTTTTAAATTAATTCACTTCTTGAAAGAGAGGGTTGGATTGATTAGGTAATATAGGTAATAATAAAAAGGTGTTAAATTTCTAAACAAAAAACCTTGAAAAGAAAACATAATAAACATACAAAAAATTATACATAAAACAACTGAAGTTACTTATTTTCAGCATTCTATTCTTCTAGATTCTCGAAAGAAATTTGTAACAGCGGAATACAAATACGTTCGTATATGACTGCACTGGTGGCAATGTTGTCGTTCTTTTTTCACTAGTATTACCGCACCGTGTGTAGAATCGTTTATACAAGATCAGCATTAACATAAACCTGGTCACTGACGCATGCAATCAAAGCGCTACCTTCAGCATCTAGACCAGGACGCCCAGCCTGATGTACTCGATCAGCTGAGAACCATGGAAGAGCATAAAGAAAAATAACAGTACCTTGCTTTTTAAATTAATTCAGTTCTTGAAAGAGAGGGTTGGAATA